CGCATGGTATTGGCACAGCCAATGGGAAAGGTGATCGACTGCTCTCACTGTGTGCCACTCAGGCCTGACGACCATGAAAACAGTTTTTACTATGTGCGACTGATATAGTTACTTAGATGCAGTCATGGATTGGTCAAGCTCGCCTTCTCAACTATGTCATCATGCGTCATAACTTGATACGGATCACGTTGCACATAGATTGACCACCTGTCTTGAACGGGCAAAAGTTAATGTTTTCACTAGATACTATAGAGAACGGGATGGAGCTAGAGAACGCGACGCCTACCTGCATTGGCAATGTCGAATGGATCGCTGCGGTGAGTGACCCATGGAATCGCATCCATGAACATATGACTGCTGCTCCTGCACAAAGCAGGCATGAGAAATGTAAGCGATATACTTGATTTGATGACAATAATGCTACCATTGGGGCATTGGTGTCGGAGAAGAATACAGCATTCGTTGCGTTTACGTATGACCCTGCAATGCAGAGAAGAATAGTCAGTTTCGCATACTTCGACGGCGATTGAGTCGAGAACTCTGTCACATCAGAAATGCATGGTGGGCGACGAAGGCAAAGCATAAGGAATTATTTGACACATTGAAAGCGTTGAATGGGCCTACATTGCAGCCGCTGAGGATGCTACGCAATGCTAAATCAGGCGCTGATTGCACACAGATTGCATAAAGAATTCTGATATGGCGAACACACTTTGACTGTCGCTTAAACAATGGTTCGGAGATTGACTGACCTACATTGCACAGGCTGCAACAACGAGCTGCAGATATGTCATGCCGACACACCACCAGTGCTTGAGACGCAGACAGCATATTATCAACGGGGAGACGGCAACCGCGGCGGTTCCAATGAGATGCCACCAGAAGTATTGAACCACGGTGAACCCGCTTTGTTACATGCACTGCACCACTTATTGCAAAGTGTGTGGTTTGAGGAAGAGGTGTCTGTTGACTTGAAGGATATCCATATGCAAAGGCAAATTAGAACAAGTTATGCGCCAGGAATAGTCGTGGCATCAAATTGCTGAGTTTTGTGAGTACATCGATCTTTTGGATCCTGCTCAACCGCCTCTTCATTCAGACTGTTGAAATGAACGTGGTGGACGAGGAATGCAGTTTCCTTTCGGGTCACAGCATAATAGATATGGTATCCGCGGCCAGTCAGTTACAGGAGAAATGCCAAGTGCGACACCAGTCATTATACTCGTTAGTATACTCACCAAGGCATTTAATACTGGAACCGAGAGGCACTGTGGCTGGTGTTGCATAAGTCTGGCTGCCCGAGTACTTTTGTATTTTTCACTGTATGTCTGCACAGTGGTATACAGGCGAGGGTTCAGCTAGGGTGGACAAACTTAGAATTACTTTGAGGTTATCGGTGGTGTGAAGCAAGGCTGTGTCTTACCTCCTGCCCTTGTTAACATTCACCTAAATGCTATAGGGTCTTTTGCTTTCGATGCTGATGGCTATTACAGTGTCGTTGTGGAGCACCGAAGTAATGACGGGTTGCTGAACATCCGTCGTTGCAGGGTGTGAAGCCGAGTGTGTGAGTCAACCATCCGTATGTTGCGGTTGTGCGTTGTTTGCGCACAGCGCAGATGATTTGCAGCACATGACTTCAGCTCTCTCTTCGAGGGCGACGAAACTCGGCCTCACCATCGACACAAACAATACTGTTTTTCATTTCCAGCCTTCACCAGGAATAACGCCTGTGAACGTGCCCCAATTCCAGGTTACCGATGACATGTTGGAAACAGCATTAAAACCTTAACCGCGTCATATTAACAAACCTGTAGGTGACCAGCGAGCCGCGAATCCACTTATCGATGAGGTCTGCTGCCTTTGGCAAACTAAATAAACACGTGCGGAACGACCACCGGCTTACCGTTAGAAGGAACCTGATGGTGTACTAGTTGATGGCGTTATCCATTCTTCTATACGGCAGTGAAACATGGACTATTTACCAGAATGACATCCGATATCTGGAGAGGTTTCATCAATAGTGTATGCTACGGCTTCTGCACATCGGTTGGTGTTACAGTCACACACACACGGAAATGCTGCGCCGCAGTGGCATGTATGCAGTGGACTGACTAATTCTGCTGGAGCACCTCAGGTGGATCGGACATGTCGTCCTCATGGCTTTGACGCGGATACCGAAACAGCTCTTATATGAACAACTTACTGCATTGAAGCGGTTCGTTGGAAAAGCATTTTCATTACCAGAATGTGATCAAGGTGAGTTTGTCACAAACTATCATTGATTTAAGGTGTTGGAAATCAACGGCAGTTACTCGGCACCAATGGCGTGAGCTGATCAATAGGGCGGTTGCCCAGGTGCAGGAGAAGACACTATTGCACGCAGAGAATAAATGCCGAGTAAGAAAGCGACAGACGCCGATGGAGTCAGCCCCATCGACACCAAGCGCAAGGTGCTGTAGCGCCTGCGGTCGCGAGTGTTTGTGCTAAGCAGCCCGGAAAGCCACCAGCGTGACCACGCACTGCCGACATCTAAAATCCGGTGAGTCAGCTGCTTATCTAATCAGCATCAGCGCATTGTTCGTAAGTACGATGGATCCGCGTGCTCTCGATTTACTAACCCAGGCCAACAATGCCGTTGATGTGGTACGTGTGCTATGTCCTCGTTGCAGTTAGTTACTGGCATTTCAGGTCTTAGCTGTTACTTGCTATCTCCGGTGTCGCTGCGCTTGAGCTGAATGTTGACTAGGTGCCCACCTGTCTAACACCCTCCATCTGGAGTACTGGCTCCAAGATACTGCCAATCTTTGCTGGGAGACAGGGCGTACCATTCTCGTGACCTTAGTTGGCTCAAAGTGTGGTTCCATACATCCAGTGTGGAGCGAACCACGGCCCAACCACCGCCTTGTGTACTACTGGTACGCATGATTTCTAAATTGGGCAAGAATGTCGTTGCTGTTCATGTTGAAATGTGTGGGCCGGTTCTGTTGATGAAACATAGCCCCCAGCCGTATGCCCCCGGTCTTATTCCTTCTGGTTTACACCGGATATGATGTGTCTGGACGGATCTGTGAGTGATGCAGTGCAAGCCACCCAAGGTCCCTCTATAGGCGCAAGCGTTCTGTGGCTGTCCCTGTGGATACCGCAGTAGCAGGCAAATCCGGAACCGGATGCAGCCAGCCAAGTGCAAGGAATTCTTTTATGCAATCAACGAGTACGAACCCAACTTCTCTGAAACAACGAGACAAACTTCTTAACAATGAGCATCTTGGCATTGTAACTATTCAGCGGCGTTCTTTGATAATGCTTTTGTGAAGGCAGTCACAATCAAATAAGTATTTCGAGTTTAAAAACATCTTGCCTTTTCTTAGTTAATTTAAAAAAGCATTTCTGAGCCCGTAAATTCACGTTTCTTATGGTATCGTTCATTCTAGTTAGTGAGGGTATCGGCCGAACCAGTGAAATAAACTTATGTACAAACGAAACAGAGACACTGCGGCTGCATCCTTTTCAAGCTCCTCTTTTCTGATTAAGAGTACGAATGTTTAAAATACTAAATGGATCATTTAAAGCAGATGGTTTCCGCGTCGACCAAGCTTGCAACAACACGGTGAATCCTGGTTTAATTTTCCTGGCTACAATTTCCGCTTATCTTATTTCTAAGCTTGCTACACATTTAGGATTTTTGAAGCGTTTTCAGGTCAGTGGCCTCCAGGTTTTTCAAACCCATCGTACTGGGATTTCTTTCATAGGTTTAAAACCATATTCGCACAGGCAATGAGATTCGCATTAAGATGGCAAGAGAATAACCTCTAGAGGCCTTGATTCCACAAGTATATCACTCTGCGTAGGTTGCGCTCCATCGACAGTATCGTAAACCGCTGTTACTAAGTCACCTTCCTTGAAATCCCATCGGATTTCAACGATTTCGAAATTACGCTCACGAGAATGTAGCTGCCGCTCTGATACTTGTCGGAAAAAAATATGAAAACTTTCTACGCACCCCGAAGAGATGTTTTGCTTGTACTCTGATTTGAAAGCTTTCACATGGTTGTCTGTTTCGCCGAGTGGTCTTGTCGGCCGGTGGCCGAGTGGTCTGCACGTTTGGTTTGCAACCATAAGGTCACCGGTTCGAAACCGCGTAGGGGTGGGCATCCTCGCGGTATACTCAGCACGCGCGCGACTGGTGGTGGTGGTGCGGCAGTGAAGCGCCGTTACGGCGTACAGCTGACACATTATTATTACATTTGTCTGTTTGGTGTAACTGGGATAGATTCTTCTCTGATCGATTGCAGTCATCCTGTGTTGTCACTATTTCAGATATATATACATACATACATATATATATATATATATAGTCAGTAAACAGGAAATGCGATTGCTTATTTGATCCTTCAGCAGTTCTGCCCTACTCACCAATATTGATGGACCACTTCTTCAGAACCATATTGGTAGACGTTTGTCTATAATTGCACAGAAGTGGTCTGGTTTGAGGTTGCATGTTTTCCGTGCTTTTTGCGAACTTCATCTCATTCGTCCATTGCCAGTTTTCTTTTAATGGCCCTCTACTACCGTCATCTAGCATGAGTAGCCGGTTATTATACTTAGTGACGAAACGGTGAAACAAATTATAATTACACCGTTCGTATTAGATGTGTCGCCTTCATGCATTATTACTGTTTGAATTTCACCGCATCATCGTTGGATTAATTCATTTTTTAAGAAGTTGCAGTCAGGCCCATCTGACACGAGCTTAATCATCATTCCTCGGTTGCATCCTGCATTTGTTCAAACGTTGCAACCAAATTTTGATTGGACACCTCCAGTGACCTGGCCCTATCCCTCATGTTAAGTCAGATGCTTTCCATTGGCAGAATGGGAGTGAAATTGGCCAACATTTTAGGACAGCGAATAAATACATATATTTGATGGTGTTGTGGTGTGAACTACACCCAGAACAAGTACGCTAACCCTAGAATAACGTTTTTCCGAGAAGAGATTGGATGTCTTCGCTGCTTTCCTTCTGGCTTTTGGCTCTCGGTTTCACTGGGTTACTTTCCAAAGGGAATTCATTACCAGTAAGTTTAATACAATCTTTTCTAATGGTGTCACTCAATGCATCCTGATAACATATCTACTCTTGTTATATGTATGACTTATACATACCGCATGCAGTGTAAACAAGCTCGACTGCTTTTATCAGATCAGCCTCCGCAGAGATCGGAACTTCAGGCACCGAAGTAATAAACCTGCAGGAGGATTTTCCTCGGGGATTTTGCTATTACACAGGGCAACAAACTTTTTGCAATTTTCTCTTACAGGAGATTTCTAAACTGATCCTACGTACATCCTTAGTGCTCGTTTCAAACGTGAAAGATGTTTTTTCCCGTGTGCTCTAGTTTTATGGCATCTCGACATTCTACATACATATAAAATTAAATACCATTCCACTTTCGTTTTAGTAATGACCATGGCTCACTCAGGTCGACATAAGTGTGTAAATGAACCTGATGCATTTGGCCATATATGCGGCTCGTATACACTAGTTCGTCAAAGGAGAAATATCACACCCTTTGCAAAATGTGTCTATAAATCATACATTGAACTACACCTTGGTGACCAATGTCTAACATGGGCACCCACATTGTGTGTCATTATTATGAGGAAATGCGTCGTGACTAGACAAAAGACAAACGCAAAGGCCTACCATTTGGAGTTTCAATGGTTTGGTGAGAACCTACGAGCCACATAACAGACTTCTACTTTTGCATGGTTGATACAAAAGGTATTGGCAAGAAAAATTGGCATAAGACCGCTTATCTCAGTATTTTCTCTACAATTCTACTCACTCCACACTCTAAAGAACTTCCAGTTCCAAAATTTAAAGATTTTGCTTCATCGGAGGATGAAGTCCGTGGGTGTGAAAATGAGGCCCAGTTACATGAATAGGGTTTAAATTATGAAGACTCTGCAGCTGAGGCTGAATTTTTATCAGCTCCCCAGCAATGCATTCAACAACGGTCCACAAATTCGTACTCTGGTGCGTGATAAACAATTTGTCACAACGATGAATGCCAAGGGGGTACATGTGTGGCGGTCATTTGTGGCGGCAATACAAAACTTTCTTCGGTACCATAAATCACATAATTAAGAGGAACAGGTTAACAGAATGTCGTTGGCATTTATCGATCTTGAGTGCGACATGAGCCTCAAGCTTTATTTCTTGAATGGTCATTTTGATCAGCAGTAAGTGATGAATAGGTGAAATTTTTTCATCAAGTATGCTGATGCTGCTGCTGCTGATGATGATGACGATGACGATGATGATAATGATGATGATGAGGATGCTGATGGTGATGATGATGATGATGATAATGATGATGCTGATGGTGATGAGGATGATGATGATGATGATGGTGATGATGATGATGATGATGATGATGATGATGATGATGATGAGGATGATGATGATGATGATGATGATGAGGATGATGATGATGATGATGATGATGATGATGATGATGATGATGATGATGATGATGATGATGATGATGATGATGATGATGATGAGGATGATGATGATGATGATGATGATGAGGAGGAGGAGGATGATGATGATGATGATGATGATGATGATGATGATGATGATGATGTTGATGATGATGATGATGATGATGATGATGATGATGATGATGATGATGATGGGAACTTATTATCAGGGATGATGGGACAGACACATGAAGGCCGACTATTGTTGGAGCATCAAACTTGACTGCCATAAGAAAACATTGCAACGGAAAAGCTATCAACGCAAATCCTTTTCCGATTAAGGTCTGTCATGCATCAAACGTTGTGCTTATGTCATGTCCACGCAAAACTTTTATCGAGGATAAATATTCAATCAACTTATATATTTACGATACATCGAGTCATGGACTAACATTTTGAACACCTTCTTCGTTTGCAAAATATTTAGGGTCCATTTTCCAGAAACCCGAGGCTTAGAGATACGCTATGTCAGATTTGTATTTGGCATTCTCGAATTATATAAGAAGCGCTGTTAGATTCTTTGCAGTGCAATGTGCTCTATCGAAAAGAGGCTAAAAGTTGCAAAACGTGACATTTGCGGTCAATTTTCAACTAATCCATAGCTTCCAGAGAAAAACAAATGGTAGATTTGAATTCAGCATGCTTAAGTTATAAAAGTACCACGGTTCATTCTTTTACAATGAAAATGAGGTGGGTTTTATCGTGTTTATAAATCGGGAACAAACTTTACCACAGCTTCGATAACTCTGATACTCCGCATTCAACTGGGGTGGGATCTGACAAGGATTCATGCATTCTTACCTCCAAGCGCTGGTGGTGAAGAAAGTTTCTGATCCACCCTTGAAGCGGACCACCAGTAACAACGGTCTGGATTTTAAGGAGGAGAATGTCATGGTCCAACCAGTCGAATGCCTTTGCGTATTTGAGAAAAGCTACAACTCCTGTACCAGTGTCTTCTGCTTCGGTTCAGCTGGATCGTGCTATCAGTGGATTTGTGGTGCATGATCGATTTCGTCGGAAGCCATATTGTTTTGGTGCAAGGTAGGTGAATTCATCCAAGTGCAGCGTTGACACACCGTCAGTAATGGCTTCCATGACCTTTGGAAGCACCGGTTGTAGGATTACGGAACGGTAGTTGGCTAGATCGGAAAGACTACCTCCAGTGTGACTAGGAATAATTATGCTGCAGGGCATTTGCCGCATCTTTCGATGTCTGTGTCTGCCCCTCCGTTGCTTGAAGAAGAGGAATTCCCCGTTTCCCCATGTGTAGGCTGTTTACAGTTTGCGCTAAAGCTTGTCCCCTCCAGACCCCTCTTCTCTTAATTGTCGGGGAAATTGTGGGTAAAACGAAACAATATCTCACGCGCTACAATCTTGTGAAATAAAATCGATACGCTCGCTGTAAACGTCATGGCGTTATCGCCCAACTGGTTGCAAAAGTCCTCCGGAAAACGGGTACTCGCCTTAGTTCAGAACGACGGATGTAAACACCCTCATCTTTTATCAAACCGGACATTTTGTTATTAAATATTCCAATGGTAATGTTCTGGATGCAGCAATCTGCGATGTTGGTGGCTTGCAGCATGCACACCAGATTAAAATGGACAAATACGGCGCAGGCACAAATGCTTCGCGATATCGCAATATATTCAGGCTCAATTTCTAGAACCACGTGGGATCGTTCATTGGCCAATTAGTATTACCAAGAAATTTAATACACCCGGCTTCCGAGAAAAATTTTTCTTCATTTGGGCCGACCAGCTTCGACATATCCGATAGCTGCGCTTCGACCATTCGGCTCTCCCAGAGTGTTTACGAACCGTAGATAAGAGGAACTTCCTCCCGCTTTAATTAAGCATATACATTATCTAATTACTCTAACAAAGGCGACGATTCCGCCTCAAATGTCTAATTTATTTTGACAGTTGTTTCCGGGACATTTGTTCCATCTTGGCTTGTTGCTGTAACACTCGGTTCTTTAGCTATGCATGCCGTCATCAAAAATAAATGTAAACTGCTAGATCGGAATAACTACCTCCCTTGTGAATAGCAGTACTTATTCTGTAGGTCATTTGCCGCATCTTTTGAGGTCGGTGTCAGTCCCTCCACTGTTTGACGAGGAGAAATTCCCCGTTTCACCATGCGTATGCTGTGTAAATGTTGACACAACAGCCTGTACTTTGAGACTACACGTATTGCTAACTTTTGCTGCGGGCAAGTAGAGTACAGTAATTGCGTCGAGTCGCATAGGCCGTTCAAGTTTCGTGGTTCGGAGAAAGGTTATAGATATGTCTGCTTCGTACAAACTAAACCACTTTTCTCGTGTAACAGCTTTGTTTCTGATGCTTCCGCAACAAGTGTTAAAATGTCTGACGAAGTGTTGTCACTCATTAGCCGTTTCCTCGTCTAGGAGAAAGATCAAGTTGGTTGTCTCACCTAGACAAGTTATTATATGGCAGCGTATACTATTTGGCGTTGCGTCGGCTATTTACTCCGGGCATTCTACACAAGAAATGTATTCGAATAGTACGACTACATGATCGCTGAAGCTCAAGGGGACCTCGACGTCCACTCTCCCGCTCATCGGTTCTTCATTTATGAATATCCCATCTGGTGGGTGTGTTAATGTGGTTATACAGCAGGAGACTAGAGACAAACCGAAGCGAGTTAGGATTTCAAGGCGTGGATTTTGTAATGGTCAGTCATATCAATTTGACTGTGCCCCTTTTATCATCCGCACTAGCTCGGAGGCCAGATAGAAGTCCATCTCGAGCGTGGGGAACGGGGGGGGCGGTAAACGACCACCAATAAGTAGGCGCCATCGTATCTTAAACCTAAACGGTGCTAAAGGGAAAACGGTACCGTGTTGATCGCATCCCCTATAGACTGACATTGAAGATCTCGAATGAGATACAGAGCCACCACTCCACCTTTTCTGGGTCGGTCATGTCGAACAATGGACACGTCTAGTAGTGCGATCTTCATTTCACTTGTCTGGGGGCGTAACCATTGCTCTGTTGTAGCGATGAATTCAAAGGTCTTTGATCCTTGAAATAGTTGCAGTTCAGAAAGCTTACTAAGCCCTAAGCACTAGTGGACATACAGGAATGCCACTTGGATGTCAGAAGTTCTCGAAAATGACTGTACGAAGGTGTATTTGCGCCAACCAATGAGAAGTCTTCACTAAACCGTTTTTTGGTGGCTTGCTAAATTTCGATATGAATACAACCGGTTTTTGGTCTCATTTGCACTTGTGGTATGTAGTTCATAGGTAGTTTTCTCGGTAGCCACTGGCCTGAGAACATAGTTTTCTGGAGCGCTGTTGTGGTTATATTGACTCACCCGTGGTGCTTTCGCGAAGACAGTGAGTGACTTTAGCTCTCTAATTGCTGTCTTCAATCGTAGTCCCGAAGGAAGTCTGTTATGTACTAACTGCCAGCTACCGATTAAGTTCACCGCCATCTGTTATGACTACACCGTTAGTTTCAGAAGCCTCGAGTCCTGCTTGGCGACACGGGTAACTATGTAA